ATAATGACTTGGAATCAACAATGAGTATTAACACAGACCTGTAATTGATTAATATAGGAAATATCACCAGAGAAACTAAAATAAAGACAGAGCAGTAGAAATTATCCATTCTGAAAATGGGGGAAAAAACAGAGAAAGAGAAAAGAACAGAGCTTCAGAGACTTATCAAGGACAATACCAAAAAGGTGACAAACTAAAGTCCCAAAAGGAGAAGAAAGTATAGTAAAAATCTTTTTTAAAAGAAATAGTGACAAGCCAGATGGGGTGGCTTATGCCTATAATCCCAGCATTTTGGTAGGCTGAAGCAGGCAGATCACTTGAGGCCAGGAGTTCACGACCAGCCTGGCCAACATGACGAAACCCCATCTCTACTAAAAATATGAAAATTAGCCAGGCATGGTGGTGCATACCTGTAATCCCAGCTACTCAGGAAGCTGAGGCACAAGAATCGCTTGGACCTGTGAGACAGAGGTTGCAGTGGGCCATGATCGCGCCACTGCACTCCAGCCTGGGTTGACAGAGCGAGACTCAGTCTCAAAAACAAACAAACAAAAAGAAATAGTGGCTAAAAATTTTTGCCATTTAGTGAAAGACAGAAATTTAGAGATTGAAGAGGCTCAAGGTCACCCAAGAAGAATAAACCTAAAGGAAACCACACTTAGGCACAAAGTGGAACTATTGAAAATCAAAGATAAAGAAAATATTACACTCGTATATGGGGATCTAAAATAGAACTTGAGGTATAAGAGTAGAATGCTGGTTGTCAGGTATTGGGAGATGAAGGAATTGGGAGATGTTGATCAATGTGTGCAAACTTCATTATAAGATGAGTATGTACTAGAGATCTAGGTTATAGCATAGTAACTACAGTTAATAATTAATATACACTATTTTACATTTTAAATTTGCCTAAAGAAGATCTTAAATGTTATCACGCAAAAGAGGTAACTATGTCATGTAACAAATACATTAATTAGCTTGATTGTAAGACTCATGACACAAGGTTTACTTATATCAAAACACAACATTGTGGCCAGGAGCAGTGGCTCATACCGGCAATCCCAGCACTTTGGGAGGCCGAGGCAGACAAATCACCCAAGGTCAGAGTCAGGCCAGTCTGACCAACATAGCAAAACCCCATCTCTACTAAAAATACAAAAATTAGCCAGGCGTGTTGGTGGGTGCCTGTAATTTCAGCTACTAAAGAATCGCTTGAACCCGGGAGACAGAGGTTACAGTGAGCCAAGATCATGCCACTGCACTTCAGCGTGGGTGACAGAGCAAGACTGTCTCCAAAAAATTTTTGAAAAAACTAAACCAAAAATGTTTCTTTGTGACCTAGAGAAGCAAATTAAATATACAGAAAAGCTCTTACTATGGCAGCAATGAAAAAAATCTACAATGCTGATTTTGGCTGGGAAAGGGAGGTAGTAAGGGACTTGGAAAATGACTTGCTTAGAGAAAGGAATTTAGAGAAAAGAATTCAAAAGCACTTTTGAAGCTATCAAAGCCTTGGTGACTAGAAGAATAGTAGTAAAAATATAAGAAGGCTAGGTGAGAGGGGAGGCCAGACTGGCAGAAATCAATAGCAAAAGAAAGATGAGTTTTATACTAAAAAAGGTGAGTCTGGCCCAACAGTAATTGCCTCTGAGGAAAGGGGGAGTGGATCTGGAGATAGTCATCAATAATGCTCTTTTGTGCCTTAAAACAAGAAAGATAATGTAAGTATGATAAAATGTTTACAGGTAATAATTCTAATAAATAGAGGTATCCGTTATATTATTGATGTTACTTATCAAAAAGAAATCCATTAATAGAATCTTTTTCAGTAGTAAAATAACTTATGCCTGTATTGTAAAAGCATTAATATCCCTTGCCTTACATATTATTTTTAAGTTTACAAATTTCAAATGCTTGTACATTAAAAGCATGTACAATCATACTCTCTTGTTAGGGGCTAATATGGAGGTGTCTTTGAGGGCAATGTTCCATTACAATTACGAAAATTCTAGGGCTCCTAAATGATGCTAAATCTACTCTGCCTGTGCTCTACATATGGAACAAGTTTTAACTTTCAATATTTCAACAAATGAAATGATGTAACAAAATGAATATAAGACCCCAAAACTTAAGGATAGAAGAGACTTTAATGGCCTAGCACAACTCTTTCCAAAACCTTCATACTGACAACCACTAAAGCTCAAATAATTCTATCCTAGTATGAATGACTTGCTTATACCCTAACTATATTATAAAAATAAAGCACATCTTATAGAATTTATGTAAGACATGATTACCAAATAAATCCAAATGAAAACAGAGGTTTACAAATTGATCCCAATGCCCCTTGTATCTCAATTTTCAGCTTACCCAGTTTTCTTCATACAATATCAAAGCTCAAAAGGTAATTTGATGCTAGAAAACTTTTTTCTTTTTTTTTGGAGACAGACTTTTGCTCTTCCTGCCAATGCCGGAGTACAATGGTGTGATCTCAGCCCACTGCAACCTCCACCTCCGGGTTCAAGCAATTCTCCTGCCTCAGCCTCCAGAGTAGCTGGGATTACAGGCAGGCACCACAACACCCAGCTAATTTTGTATTTTTTAACAGAGATGAGGTTTCTCCATGTTGGTCAAGCTGGTCTCGAACTCCCAACCCCAGGTGATCTGCCCGCCTAGACCTCCCAAAATGCTGGGATTACAGGCATCATCCACCACACCCGGCCAGAAACTTTCAAAACAAGAACACAGTGGCTAATGCACAGGGAAATTTGTCAAGTAGAGTAAGACAATATTAGCTATAAAGATAAACAGCAATGGTTTAAAAAACTTTTCCAATTCCCTCCAACGTTTTTCTCACTACACGCAAGTCAATGTTTAACCTGACACAAAAATACTGATGGACTCTTGAGTGGAAGAACCTGGACTCTCCTACTCTGTGTATCAACAGAAACATTTTCCTAAACCTTAAAATCTTAACTCCTTTTCATTAGTGAGTAGAAAAGAACATGAAGCTTGATATAAAAAAGACATGAGTGAATGCTTGTTCCACCATTTACTACCCTGTGATTCTGTGATCATAGACTACTCCTAACGCATAGGGAATAAAACTAAATTCATGAGGTTGTCATAAGGATTAAGGACATAACAGTGAACAGAACTCACTTAAGTATTCAGTAAACATTTCCTTCCCAAGATGATTTTCCTTTATCCATAAGCCTTCCTTTATCCCTCTACCCATTCCTTTAATTTTGCTTTCAAAGATCCTAAACAATGTTTTCCCAATCCCTTTGCTGCAGGTCCAACTATCACCACTGAAAACAATTATAGCAGTCAGTACATGCTCCATGAAAGAAATCAGTCACAAAAGGCCACAAATTGTATGATTCCATTTATATAAAATGACCAAATTAGGCAAATTCATAAAGACAGAAAGTAGGCCGGGTGCGGTGGCTCACACCTCTAATCCCAGCACGTTGGGAGGTCAGGAGTTTCAGATCAGCCGAGCCAAAATGGTGAAACTCTGTCTCTACTAAAAATAGAAAAACTAGCTGGGTGTGGTGGCGCGCGCCTGTAGTCCCAGCTGCTCAGCAGGCTGAGGTGGGAGAATCGCTTGAAGCTGGGAGGCAGAAGTTGCGGTGAGCCAATATTGCACCACTGCACTCCAGCCTGGACGATAGAGCAAGACTCCATCTCAAAAAACAGACAAAGTAAATTAGTGTTTGCCAATAGTTGAGGATAGAGGTAATGGAGAATGACTGCTACTGGGTATGGGGTTTTTTGGGGCCATGAAAATATTCTAAAATTGACTAGATGCCAATAAACGGTATCTAGGTATTAAAATTTACTGGAAATGGTTGCACAACCTTGTGACAATGCTAAAAACTACTCAATTACACACTTTAAAAGAGTAAGCTTTATGGTATATGAATTATAACTTAATCAAGCTGTTTAAAATAGAATAAAATAAAACACTAGACCCAGACTAATACTGGATATATTTAGCTTTTATCATTTTTCTGCTTAATGATTTACATAATCTACTACTAACAAATAAAATTCAACATTTAAAATCTTTCTGAAATAAGGCAAGATGAGTAAATAAACTACTTGCTATCCCACAGCTCCCAGTAGAAATATCTGAATTCCAGGTAGGGCGATTTCCTAACTGACCCATCCCCCAAATACTTTGAAACTCCTTCACGACTTCCCTTCATCAGTAAAATATTTACGGGGCATTATTAAATACCATGCAGGGGGCTATCACTTGAATAGATAATGAACAAAAAAGAAAAAATCCCCGCCATTATGGAGCTTTATCCTATTTATACTTTTCCAAGAATCTGATCAAGTTCAGCTTCTTCATAAATCATCCTCCAAATACTAGGGCCCTTATTAATCTCCCGCAACAATACTAATAAACTATCCATAATTATTTCACACATTAGTTTCATCACTGGCACTAAACTGTAAACCTCAACTATAAAATCATGCCTTAAGTTTTCTTGCATTTACCATAGTGTTCAGCATACAACTGAGATTGAAATAAGTACTTGATTACTTTCTTAAGTTCTATTTTTTGACTTTATGTGTTTTGTGCAGTCATTAATGAGCACACAATGCACAGTGAGTAAATAATTACAGTAAGTAATGCATCAGTAGAGCTTATTCATTTTCAAATTGCAGCTTCAGAAATATGTATGCCTTCGTTTTAAAGATACATGTAATTAGGCATCATTTCCTTAACTGAGCTGTTCTGAATTTATCAGCAATTATTAGTCCTCGCAATACTCAAAGCAGCAATACATAAATTCATATTTCACTTTAATGTGTTACAGGTTAATCAAATCAGTGGACTGGTCACTAAGACCTCCCTATATGTTTTATATTTGTACTAAAAATTAGTATCTCTCGGTTTAAGTATGCATAAGATGAACACTCTACTGCACTAACAATTCGACCACTCTCCTTGGATACATCTTAATTAGAAAACAGTAGAGCAGCCGGGCGCGGTGGCTCAAGCCTGTAATCCCAGCACTTTGGGAGGCCGAGGCGGGTGGATCACGAGGTCAAGAGATCGAGACCGTCCTGGTCAACATGGTGAAACCCCGTCTCTACTAAAAATACAAAAAATTAGCTGGGCATGGTGGCGCGTGCCTGTAATCCCAGCTACTCAGGAGGCTGAGGCAGGAGGATTGCCTGAACCCAGGAGGCGGAGGTTGCGGTGAGCCGAGATCGTGCCATTGCACTCCAGCCTGGGTAACAAGAGCGAAACTCCGTCCCCCCCAAAAAAAAAAAAAAAAAAAAAAGAAAACAGTAGAGCAGTGAGCTCTGGAATGAGACTACCCTAGGGCTAAAATTCTAGATCTACTACTTAACTATATCCTTACTTTCCTCATCGTTGAAATGGGAGTTATGTAATAGTAACCACTTCAAAAGGCTTCTGAAAAGGTAACTAATATCAAAAACAAAACTTGTAAAGGGCCTTGAAATGGCTGATTGGTACACATCCCATTTAATACATCTTTAATAACTAAAATCCAGATATAAATCTCTGATACGATAAAGAATTTTTTTAAAAAAGAACATTAGTTTTATGAAAGTCATCTGTCCTGGCAACTATAGAGTACAACTTAAAAAAAAAAAAAAAAAAAAATTTCTAGACTTGTTTTAAAACATTACATTGGGGAACATAAAACTAGTTTCTCCTTTATGCCATACAGCATGCCTCTGCATAACAAAACACTGAAGAATTCTGATGCAGGCCTCAACCAAAAATACTTTGACTATAAATAAAATACATTATGTTATTCCAATTAATTAATTTCAACTACTGTAACTTGTAAATGTGAACTCACAAGAAAATTTAAGAGAATTCAATAATACTATCAATAATTAGTAACACTCCCAAAAGATATTTCTCAACTCTGAGCCTCTGTTTCATTTGTAAATGAAGATTGGATTAAATTATCTCTCAAAATCTCTTTTCAGCTCCATAATTCTGTGTGAGTCATTAGGCACTTCCCTTAATTCACTGAAGCAAGTTTCACAAATACACATTAAATGCTATATTTGTACCCTTGAGTAACTGAATTTTTATTTATTTATTTTTTTTTTTTTTTGAGACAGAGTTTCACTCTTGTTACCCAGGCTGGAGTGCAATGGCGCCATCTCGGCTCACCGCAACCTCCGTCTCTTGGGTTCAGGCAATTCTCCTGCCTCAGCCTCCTGAGTAGCTGGGATTACAGGCACGCGCCACCATGCCCAGCTAATTTTTTGTATTTTAGTAGAGACGGGGTTTCACCATGTTGACCAGGATGGTCTCGATCTCTTGACCTCGTGATCCACCCGCCTCGGCCTCCCAAAGTGCTGGGATTACAGGCGTGAGCCACCGCGCCCAGCGAGTAACTGAATTTTTAAAATGCTTATAGCAGAAGAAAAGCACACTAGATTTAATTAAAATAATCTCTATAACTAAGTAAATACTTGAGTCCTATCATAGACCAATACTAAAAACATGGTTTACATGTTTACAATAGATTAAGCCAACCCTAAACTGCAAGGTCTTTTGCACCCTAATTCTCTTTCTAGGACTTTTAACCTCCTCCTCCTCATTATATACTCTCCTTTACACTAAATACTGAAAAATATAGACACCCTTCCCAAGAGTATTGCATTTTCACAAATGGCAAGATGTCTTAATGCAAGGACAAAATGTTTAAAAATAAAATGTTTACGTAGTGTCCTTGGATGGGGAAAAAAGATGGAATGTTGAGTATCCGAACAGATGAGTATTTCTCTCAGGTATGTTTAGGACTGGGGAGAAGAGCAGAAGGAAGGCTAAAAGAACACATCTGGCCACGGCGGGCGGATCACTTGGGCTCAGTTGAGATCAGCCTGTGGCCAACATGGTAAAACCCCGTCTCTACTAAAAATACAAAAATTAGCCGGGCCTCGTGGCGGGTACCTATAATTCCAGTTACTCAGGAGGCTGAGGCAGGAGAACAACTTGAACCCAGGAGAGAAAGGTTTCACTGAGCCAAGATCACGCCATTGCACTCTAGCCTGGACGACAGAGCAAGACTGTCTCAACAAAAAACAAAACAAAACAAAACAAACATCTGGCTATACAAAGTCAAGCTATTCATTTCCTGGTTGCAAGGAGTATGTAAGAGTGACGTGAATTTAAATCACAGTTTGAAAAGAATTTTGAAAATTCTGAAACAAAATTATTAAAATTCTGCAAAATCGGCCTTTAGAAAAACTACACATTTTTTTATGCTCTAGTATTAATCAATTATGTAAGTTATGTTGTTTTCTGATACAAAGGCCCATACAAAGTTATAAAACCAGAACATAAAGTAGTATTAGTCACCATACTATTTTCAAGAACTAAATTTAAAACAATCCAATAACATCACCTTATCTCACTTTTATCTAGTAATTCATAAATGTGTTTGGTAAGCTACAGCACACATTTTTGAAGTGCTATTATTACTTAATTGCTTCTTTATACTCCTGCCTATTACTGATTAGGTTGTATCATTAAAAAGGCTACAAGTTCTAATAGAATTACAAGGGAGCATTCAAATGCTTTTTTATTATAGTGGAATTTTGTTTCAGAAAACACATGTTGCTACATTTTAACCATTCCAAACTTCTGCTCCTAGTCCAATCCTTTAGCTGTTTCCACAAGCTGTGGGAGGAGGAGCAGGCTGGACAAGGGAAATTTAGCTAGTGCTAAACTCTCCTCCTGATTAAGAATTTTGCCTCTATAAAAACTGAATGAGATAGGTGGAGATTGACTGTCAGCATAGTGATCAGTCACCACAAGCTGATCAGTTACTGCAATGCTCAAGAAACTAGATCACATTATCCACAATTTTTTAAAGAAGGAATAGTTATATTCAGTCTTTCCGTTTTCTCCGAATGCTCTCATATTATTAGCTCAAGTAACAAATTATAATGATTCCCAAATACCCACCTTCATTCCCAAAGATCCTGTATTTTTAATTTCCTCTAGAATGTTTCCAATTATAAATAATCATTCCAAATTCAACAACAAATTCCAGTTTTACTCAGTTTCTTAAAGCTAACTCCCTAATTGTCCCAATCACTCAGGCTCACAATCTTGAAATATTCATTGATGTCTATTTACAATCCACTGGAATCAACTACAAAGTCCTAGCTATACCTCCTTCAATCTCTCAAATCAGCAAAAACATTTTGACTGTGCAGAGAACTGTGTGTGGCAGGCAGGCCAAGGTGTGCAGGAGATAAGAAAATATGCATAACACACTGTATTCCTTTCCTTCAGAACTTAAACTCAGAAAAAGAGAAAGCCAACTGATTGTTACCCAGGCTGGAGTGCAATGGCGCGATCTCGGCTCACCGCAACCTCCGCCTCCTGGGTTCAGGCAATTCTCCTGCCTCAGCCTCCTGAGTAGCTGGGATTACAGGCACGTGCCACCATGCCCAGCTAATTTTTTGTAGCTTAGTAGAGACGTGGTGTCACCATGTTGACCAGGATGGTCTCGATCTCTTGACCTCGTGATCCACCCGCCTCGGCCTCCCAAAGTGATTATTATGATTAAAACATATTGTGCTGGGTACTATGCTGAACCATTCTCGTGCATTATCAAAAAACAAAACAAAACAAAAGGCTGCAGCACATGGTGGCTCACACCTGTAATCTCAACACTTTGAGAAGCCAAAGCAAGAGGATACTTGGGCCTAGAAGTCTGAGACCAGCCTGGGCAACACAGTGAGACCCCATCTCCAAAAAAAAAATTTTTTTAAGTTGCCACACATTGTGGCATGTGCCTGTAGTCCCAGCTACTCAGGAGACTGAGGCAGGAAGATAGCTTAAACCCAAAAGTTTGAGGATGCAGTGGGCCACGATCTTGCCACTGAACTCCAATTTGGGCAACAGAGACGCCGTCTCAAAAACAAACAAAAAAAACCTACTATAAGGTAAATACTATCATCTCCAAATTACAGATGGGAAGAAATAAGACCTACAGCAGTTCACGTGTATAAAAGTCATATAGCTATTAAGTGACAGAGCTTGAACTCAAAAACAGATGACTACAAAGCCCGTGCTATCCACAAATAAAATAACACAGAATATAACTTGCAGGAAAAAAAAGTAAAAAGAAAAAAAAAAAAAAATCTTGTCCTAACTTATCTCTTCTGCTCCATCTCCACTGGCAATACCAGGTTTCAGAATTTCTGCAAAGTTGGCCCTTAAGTGGGCTGCTGAAGAATCATCTAGGAAGCCTACCAAAATGAATATTCATAGTCCAACCCTTGAGATTCTGAGTCACGGGGTATGGGGTGTTTCTGATGCATAGTTTTTTTAAAACCATACTCCTAATTCTTGTTCATTCATTCATACAACAAAGATTTGAATTCCTACTATGCACCAAGCCATGTCAAAGGTTCATCTTTAACAGAAGGAAGATCTAGTGTAGAGGCTCTGCCACACTTACTGCTACAATATCTTGGGTAAGTAGCTTAGCCTCTCTTAAGTCTAAATTTTCTAGCCTATAAAACAAAGATAATACTTCTCAGTTTGTTGTGAAAAGTTAATGAGATAATACAAAGCATTAAGCACAGGGCCTGACATACAACTCTTGATAAATGCTAGCTATTATTATTTCCTGAGAAACTCAACCTAAATAGTAATTTTTTTCTAGAGATTAAATTTAAGCAAAGTAACAAGAAAATAGTCCAGGCATTCACACATCCAGGAGGGGGAAAACGTAAACCAAGTAAGAAAGATTACACAGAAGGGTTTCTCTAAGTGAATCAAATTCATAAGGCTGAGATTTTTTTTTGTAAGATGACTTTAAATAGGAATAGAGTTAACTTTACTAACAAAAATAAAGCAACACATACAGTTCTGAAAAGGCAGTCTCCTAGGAGAGTCCCTAAAGTGTTAAAAGAAAGAACACAGGACTTAAATACAGAAGAACTCAGGTCCAAATAGCAGATGGAACCACCTCCTAGCTAGATGGCATCAAAAAAAGTAAT